TTGTCACAGAGCAACCCAGATCAATCTGGTGCTCTGATACCATAAAGAGATTGTAGAGAAAACATGATTATGAAAGCCAAGAACAAGTTTACAGCTTTGATGCTCAAGAGAAACTGTATATGCTTTTTGTATAAAATTAAATTGAGCATACAGATAACTTCTATTTATACATGGCTAAGAATAATCTAGAATGTGGACACCTCAACAAATAAAACAAGGAAGCATAACAAACTTGAATAATGCCAAACTCCCACACCAAAGGCGCCTTCTTGTACTAGGAGCCCGTTGCTGCTATTTGTCCTCATGCATGTCATCATGCAACACGTCACTCACGTGCTTGGTGAAGGTGTCTCGCTGCTGGACCGGTTCAATCTCAGTTGGGCTCACTTTGGGCCTCTTAATGGATCCATGCATAATGATATGTGATCCATTTAATCTTTTACACCAACACAAGCACAACGAACATACAACAAAGAAAAACAGAAAACATAAACAACATTATACGAAAACAGAGCCCTTCCCCTGCGACTCGAACTAAACTCAACCAGCAGTGGACAACCGACACAAAGACAACCTCGAGCCCGAGAACCGCTACCGAAACTGCATGAACGCCTATACAGTAGGAGAACTCAACCCCCGAGACAATCCCGAATCGGCCCATCCCTAACCGAGAGAACCCCAACCAATCCCAACGCTAGCCCTACCGAACTCGTCTAACATCACTAGCCAAGCTCGATAGGACCCAATCCCCCACCGCCTAACACTACTAGTCGACCAAGGAAAGACGTGAGTGGCCCGGGCCCTCAACCCCAACAGCCGCATCAGACCGACACAGCAACCGAGATCCCGCCCCACTCCACGACTCCCGCACCCCCGACACCACCACAAATTACTGGATACCAACAGCAAAACCCCACCTGTAACAAGTGAAAATCCCGTCGGAGAGCCCCAGCCCAGTAGCCACAAAGAGGAACCAAAGGAAGAGCAAATTACCGCAAACTAGAGCACCGCCGACAATCGAAGAAAAAGCCTCCAATCGGTCAGTCGAACGCCAGCCAGGCGAGTCGCCACCTCCCACTGAGACCCCATCGGCGACCATAGACCGGACCACCGCGCACCCAACAATCCACAGCCACATCGAAAGCGCACTGCACGGGGAGTGGGCCAGGCGGTCAAGGACGACCCCTGGCCGAGCTAAGCCGTCGCGGAGGAAGACGAACAGATCGAATTTTTGGGAGGCGGGTTCGCAAATTTAGGGGAAGGCAGATTTGGAAGTATTTTTTCGTTCGCCTGTTATTTTATTAAATTTAGAATTAAAAAAAATATTAGTTTAATAAAATAGAAACACACAGAATAAAAGATTTCGCTATAGAGTCAATAGTTGGCTCCTTAGAACACCCACAATACTTTGGGTCAATTCAAAAAATTATGCATGCCACATTGAAAATAGACTAAGTCTAGAAAAATATACTCTCCATGCAAGTGCTAACAGACTAGGTCGTGCTGATGTGACAGCAAGAAAAACAGAGTCATTCTACCCGTAAGTCTAGTTTAGACCCTAGCCTCTCTGCATTGGAGTCAATTTTGTTACTTTTTAAATAATTTTGTTCATATCATCAAAGACTTAAGTCTATTTACATGCCACATAAAAAAAATTAGACCCAAAGCATTGCAGATGCTCTGAAGGAGCCAATTGCCTATGTGGCCTATCTGGGTGGCAATTTAAATAAATTTTATTTTACCTTTTATTGTTTTAAACTTATTTCTTTTGAACGAAAAAACACGAAAAAGAACACGAATCCCACGAAAAAAAACCCACGACAGAACTTAGAACTCCTATGAAGAAAAACTCACCATCGGCTGAAAAGTACACCATCATCACCACTTTTCCTAATTAAAAATTTTTCCATCCCTCCAATTAATCACCATATAAACTTTCAGAGGGATAGCCATGGTTGGGAACCCAATCATCCCCTTCTGACGATGATAAAGGCAGTCACATCCCCACCGGCTTAGCCAACCCCGCCATGACGACCGTTGTCGCCATCGCTGCCCGCCCGACGGGATGTCGACCCTCATCGACACGTACAAGGACAAGTGGCTCTCTCCGTTGAAGCACCATTCAATTTTGAAGACTTGCAAGCGACCCCGATGATTAACGAGTTGATAACGAATTCATCCCTCAAGTTGATTCGACTGTTGTGCCTAAAATCGGTTAGAATTTTATTTAGATGAAAAAGCTCATATTTTCTATAATACGTATACTAAAGATGCGGGGTTTAGCATTAAAATCCGGAATAGAATAAAGAATAAAATAGATGACATGTTTGTTTGGGGGGATTTCACTTACTCTAAAGAAGGTATGACAAATGAGACCTATCGAAAGAATAAACATGCAATGGCAGAAACTAAGAAACGAAGAAGAGGGGAAACCGGATGTAATTTCCCGGCTCGAATGAGTGTTCGAAAAATCAAAGAAGTTTGGGTAGTGAAGGATTTTGAAGGGAAACATAATTATTTTCTTGCAACTCCTAATAAGACTCATCTACTTTGATCTCATCGAGTTGTGTCAACTACAAAATGATGCCATAGAATTTCTGAATAAACATCCCAATTTGTCTTAAAATCAAAAAATGAAATAAATGAATTTTTTGTTGATGGCCAACGAAGTCTCATTTGCCTATCATTTGTTAATTATTGTCAATTATTGTTGTTTCCATCATTGTCTGAACACATGATCATTGTTGTCGTTACTTTTATAGATCTGATTTTTGTTACATGTTTCGTTGTTGTTTGTTTGCAGTGATTAGATTTAATTGTTATTTCAATGTTAATCAACGTTGTTTGGAAGTTTCTCTTACTCTTATTATTAATATAATATATTTATGTGAATGATTTAAGCCAAATATAACCATGCATTATACATAAAATATATTTCAAAATATTTTTTAGAAGTAATATTTTCTATTAATAAATTTTGTTATTTCTCACTTATTAGGAAAAAATATTCTGAATAATAATATTTAAGTTCACCTTTAATAATACACGTGGTATAAATTTACTTTTATTTTCTAATATATATTAAATGTATCTTAATCAAAGCTAACTAGTACAACGCCCGTGTATTACACGGGTGTTTGCTAATTTTTTCTTAAAATCTAAAATTATTATGAAAAAGTAGTTGAAAATTTAAATGACTTTTATAAAAATATATATTATTATATATTTAGTATGACACTTTTTTATTTGTACGACTTACTTGTGTTATATTATAATAATTTTTTTAACTTACAACATATAACTACATTAAACATAAATATATCAATTGAGAAATAATTTTACTTTTCGAATGAATTTTAATAAATATTATTATTTTTTATTATTATAAAGATAAATATAATTTATTTATTTCATATATACAATATGGATGTCAAATCGAAGATCATCAAAAGATGATT